TATCTGAAGACTCTGCTGCAAATTACAAGCCAGAATTTGTGTCTTCAACAAAGGACAGTCTCAGAGCCTCATAGAAAAGAACTGTACCAGGTATTTCAAACCACTGACGTGTCAGAATAGACTCTTGGGTACAGGTTTCTGAGCTGATAGTACATAGGCAACTCTGAGATCATACCAGCACACTTAGGATTTCCAGTTTTCTTTTTTCTTTTTTTCCAGTTTAGAAGCACACAGCTTCACGAAAGCAGATTGCTAACCCAAGATCCAGCAGAACACTAATTATATAGGACTGAATAAATTGATGAGGGAAATTTTACTGTGGTTATTTATTTGGAATATTGTTGATGTTGTTTTAATGGTCTATTTTCTGAATATGTATGAAAATCCTTTCCCTTTCTTTGTAAGTCATTTGTACTGAGAACAATTTAGTAAACACTGCTTCTGTAAACTAAATATTTGAAATATGATTCTCACTCACCTTCTTCCCATCCTACCCCTCCTTCTGAATTCAGAAACTTTTACTAAGTCTCCCTACTTTTCACAGCAATAAAGTTATTTGCATAGGTTCTATAAGAATCTGTCCTCCTTTGTTTTTAAACCAAGATATAAATGGACAAACTGATTGTGCAACCAAGGCCTCACATGGAGTATCATATTTGAGAATGATAGTCATTTAATCAGGTATGATAATATACTTTTAAAGAATAAGGTTGATCTTACCTCAACTTTATGGAGCAAATGTCCACAAATTTCCTCTCAGGGAATTATCCTGGTACCTGACTTGCAGGGTCCCAGTATAAATGTGGTAGGAAGTTCACTTTCCATCAGGTTAGGAACCTTAGAAAAGTTGAGGGACCTTGAGAAGAGATGACTTTCCTCAAATTTATAAGTACTACAGGTGAAATCTGGTAGAGAGAATTTCTTGGCCTTGGTTTCCCAGCTTTGGAATAGCAAAAAATAACAACCCCTCCCACACACGGACAATTCACAGTTTTGTATATATTTGTAAATTCACTTCCTAATTGCCTGTGTGTGTTTTAATTCTCTTTTGAACCAGTTGTAACATCTTACTGGTTCTTTATTAATTAATGAGTTAAATAAAATCTTTCACATGTGTTCAAAAAAATTAAAATAGAAATTAAAACTCCAAAAAGAGAGAAAATGATTTGGAAGACAAGTAAAAGAGATCTAAAACATACATAGGGTCCCCAAAGAAGAAAACCGAAATAATGAAATAAAAACAAATGTTAAAAACAGTTCTGGAAAATTTTCTAGAAAAAGAGGAATACTTGAATTTACATATTGAAAAAGTACACTATGTTCCAGAAGAAGATATTTCCTAGTATAATCTATTCAGCTACCAAATTTTTTTTTTAGTTAATAGATTTTATTTTATTATTTTACTTTAAAATAAAATCCATTTTTAATAACATTTTCTAACCCATCATCCCTGGAGCTATACCCAACGGCCTTTTTTGGGGGGTATATAATTCTTTTTATATGTTGCTGGGTTTTTTCTCCAGCTTCACTGAGATATATTTGACATATAACACTGTGTAAGTTTAAGGTGTACAATGTAATGGTTTGATATATGTGTATACTGCAAAATGAGTGTCACAATAAGTTAACATATCTATCACCTCACATAGTTACTATTTTTCGTGTGTCATGAGAACATTTAAGATTTACTTAAATCTTAACTTTCAAACATACAATCCAGTATTGTTAACTACAGTCACCATGGTGTACATTATGTTTCCAAAACTTATTCATTTTCTAACTGGAAGTGTGTACCCTTTGACCACCATCAGCCATTTCCCCCATCCTCCATCCCCTGGCAACCACCAATCTACTCTGTTTCTATGAGGTCATTTCTTTTTAGATTCCACATATAAGTTAGATCATACAGTATTTGTCTTTCTCTGTCTGACTTATTTCACTTAGCATAATGTCCTCCAGGTTCATCCATGTTGTCACAAATGGCAGGATTTCCTTCTTTTTTAAGGCTAAATATTCCATTGTTTATATATATATACACACATACACCCCGCATTTTTTTAATCCATTCATCCTTTGCTGGACACTTGGATTATTTCCATGTCTTGATTATTGTGAATGATGCTGCAATGAACATGGGGGTGCAGATATCTCTTTGAGATACTGATTTCATTTCCTTAGGATATATACCCAGAAGTGAAATTTTTGGATGATGTAGTAGTTCTATTTTTAATTTTTTGAGGGCCCTCCATACTGTTTTCCAAAGTGGCTGTACGAATTTATATGCCCACTAACAGTGCACAAGGGTTCCCTTTTCTCTGCATCCTCACCAGCATTTGTTGTCTCCTGTCTTTTTGATAATAGCTATTCCTTTCAAGCAGTCTTAGATTCACAGCAAAATTGAGCGGAAGGTACAGACAGTTCATGTATACATCCTATCCTGCCCCCCCCCAAACCTCCCCCACTATTGCCATCCCACACCATAATGGTACATTTGTTATAATCATTGAACCTACAATGACACATTATCTTCACCAAAAGTCCATAGTTTACATTGGGGTTCACTCTTGGTGGTGTACATTCTATGGGTTTTGACAAATACATAATGACATGTATCCACCATTGTAGTATCATACAGAACAGTTTCACTGCCCTAACAATTCTCTGTGTTCTATCTATTCATCCCTCCCTCCCCAACTAACCCCTAGCAAACCATAGTTTTGTCTTTTCTGTAATGTCATATAGCTGGAATCATATAGTATGGAGCCTTTTCAGATTGGCTTCTTTCACTTAGTAATATGTATTTAAGTTCCTTCCATATCTTTTCATGGCTTACTAGCTCATTTTTTCTTAGCTCTGAATGATATTTCATTGTTTGGATATACCATAGTTTATTTATCCATTCACCTACTGAAGGATATCTTGGTTGCTTTCAAGTTTTAGCAATTATGAATAGAGCTTCTATAAACATTCATGTGTAGGTCGTTGCATAGACATAGATTTTCAATTCACTTGGGTGAATACCAAGGATCACAGTTGCTGGATTGTATGGTAAAAGTAAGTTTAGTTTTGTAAGAAACTGCCAAAAAGTGTCTTCCAAAGTGGCTGTACCATTTTGCATCCCCACCAGCAATGAATGAGAGTTCCTGTTGCTCCACATACTCACCACCATTTGGTATTGTCAGTGTTTTGGATTTTTGCCATTCTAATAGATATGTAGTGGTATCTTATTGTTGTTTTAATTCGGAATTCCCTAATGACATAGATAGCCAGCCCTGGTGGTCTAATGGTTAAGATTTGGCGCACTTCCCCCTGTAGCCTGGGTTCATTTCCCAGTCACGGAACCACACTACCTGTTTGTTGGTTGTCATACTGTAGTGGCTGTGTGTTGCTGTGATGCTGAAAGCTATGCCACTGGTATTTCAAATACCAGCAGGGTCACCCATGATGGACAGGTTTCAGCAGAGCTTCCAGACTAAGACAGACTAGGAAGAAGATCTGACCACCCACTTCCAAAAAAATTGGCCATGAAAACCCTATGAATAGCAGCTGAGCACTGTCTGATGTAGTGCCAGAAGGTGAGAGGATGGTGCAAAAAGACCTGGCAGGGTTCCACTCTGCTATACACAAGCTCGCTAGGAGTCAGAATCAACTCGATGGTAATAACAACAAAATGACATAGATAGATAAAGATAGAAATAGATATAGACATATATAGATATGTACAGAGAGAGTCTAGCTGTGTTCCCAGAAAGAAGAAATAGATTTTTTAGTGGATACCTAGCATTCTGACATACTTTTAAAATTAAAGTCCTTGAAGCTATGAATTTCACTCTGAGCACTGCTTTAGCACTTTAGATTCTGTTACGAGGTATTTTCATAACCAAGGGTTTTGTTTCCTGATTCCATTATTAATTTCTAGTTTTACTGCATTGTGGTCAAATAATGTTGTCTGTTTTATTTTTTACATCTTGGAATTTATTCAGGTTTTCCTTGTAATCAATTTTGTAAATGTTCAAAGGGCACATGAAAAGAAGATGAGTTTTCTATTTTCAGGTTATAGAGTATATTTCTATTAAATCTTCTATACTAAGTATATTATTTAGGTATTCTCTATCCTTTCTTTTTGTTGTTTTTATTCCTTTAAATGCCTATTATAGATTGAGAGGGATGAATTAAATCTTATGTTTATGTTCTTCCTTATCATTCCTATAGCTTGATACCAAAATCCATCAAAGATACCATATATACACTAAAAGAAAATGACAGACCAATAATTTCTAAATATTATGAAACCAGTTCATCAACATTTTAAAAGCAATAGCACCCCATGACCAAATAGGATCACAGAAATGTATAGATGCAACAATGACAATTTTAGGAAATATATTATTATAATTTAATATATTAATACTTCAAATGAGAAAAACCATATGATTATCTCTATAGAAGCTGAAAAGGCATGTAATTCAATTCAATATCTATTGATTTTTTTAAAAATTCTAACTAAAACAGGAACAGATGGACACAATGTAAAAAAAAGTCTATCTAAACCTAAAGCCAATGCCATCCTTAATGAGGAAACAGTAGTAAGCTACCACATAGCTTCAAAAAGTTTGCTACTATTTTGATTATTTTATGTTAGCAGTATCTGATATTGATTGTGGTGTGGCAGACTATTTAGTTAGAGTTAAAGCTTGATTAAATTAGACATAAATCTAGTGACCTAAGAGCAATAATGTCATATTGAACAATAATGATCCTACTTTTATATTCAATACTACAGTTCTATAAAAAGCAAAGTAAAAAATAGTCTTACTCCAAGTAGTGTGTGATAGAGTCAAAACATAGACATACACTGGGGAAAAATTAGTTTTTAAAGAAGCATTTGACTGGTTATCAAGTACTGCAGTGGCACAAATTTCTGGTGATAAAAGACTGGGTTACTCAGATATGAAACACCCTTCATAACTGTGTTACCGAGCTCCTAGTTCCCACTGTACCTGTTTCTTTCAGGAGATTCCAGATGTCTCTGCATTTATGGATCTGTTCAAGTGCACGATTCAGTAACCTGGTCTATTTGGCAACAATGCAATGAGAAAATTAGCAAGTTAAGCTATTAAAGCAAATTAAATTAAATTTTAATTTTAATTAAGCAAATTAAAATAATCTCATATCATTTTCATTAAAAACAGTTAAAAATAAAATGATAGTTTAAACTAGACATCCTGGAATTTATATAGAAATATTAACCTCTATTCGTACTTTTCCTTTATGTCCCAGGAAAAGGAGGATTAAACAGATAATCTTGAGCATTATCATTTTCTTTAATAATCTAGGACAAAAGAGAAGCACTTCCAGAATGGTGGTGTGAGGAGCTCCATGGACACTCTCCCCAGCAAAACAACCATAAGAGGCGAAAATTATAAAACACGATCATGTAAAGGCTTAGGAAATTGCCAAAAGGGCATATAGCAAATGGGGAAATATCTATTGCAGGAAATTTATGAAGTCTCAGTAAGAACAATGAGCTCATCAACCTCCCCAGCTCAGTGTGATGTAAGCACTACTTTAGGTGGGTGAGGCCAAGAAGATGAGGCTCCCTCTACCCTCAGCTTCCAGGGGATTCCCAGAAGGGGCATGCTGCCAGTACTTCTCATCCCCCTGCCCCAGGTCTGTACTGCAGAAGCTCTATTATAAACAAGCACAACTGAGAGGCTGGAGTTCTTTTCCTCTACCCAGTCCCTATATCAGGCATGGCAAATTGAGAATACTGGGTCTCAATTGCCCTCACCTCAGCTTGCATATAGGATAGAGTTTTCATGCTGGGAGAGGCAGGCCAAGAATGCCAGGGACTACAACTCCCGTCTAGCCCCCAACTCATAGAGCTGGACTGTCATCCTGATAGAAATGGGCCACTGTCCCCACCTCCAGCTCCAAAACAGTGGTATAGAGTTTCTGCTCAGGAGGAGAGGCAGGTCATTAGAAGAGTGAGCTCTGTAGCTCTCCCTAAGGGGACTGACTTTAATTGGAACAGAACTTAGGGAAGTTCAAGTCTAAGTGTACTATAAAAAACCATGGAGATTTTGGTGTTGAGCAATTAAGAGGAGTCTGGTAGCTCAATGATGTCAACAAGCAAAACAGTAGACCAGCTAGAAGTTTACAGAGAGAACCAGGGGAAAAGAAAGCTAAGAAGATACCTACCCCTTCAAAGGGGCCTTACTTTAATTGGATCAGACTGTGGAGCAATTTATGCCAAAGAGCATTTTCAAACACACACACACACACACACATACAGAGCAATCACCTAGTAATTAGTCAAGAATAACATCTGGGTGGGATACCAATAGAAGAAGATCATTCAGCAGTTTAACATGGAGATCTGGGAAAGAGAGTAAAAAATAACCCTGCTAAAACCACTTTCATCCCTCTGCAGGGGAGGGGTCAGGGTAACTGCACAGGCAAACACTGTGATCTCCAAGGAGTGGTATCAGAAGCTGTACATTTCTGTACAGTGGGGAAATAGACTTCACTGAACTAGCCCAGCCAAGTCACTGAACAAATAAACAAGCAAATATTAACAAGAACAAGCCCCAGAGGGGGAATCAGTATCCAAAGATGCTCCAATATATTACCTAAAATGTCCGTTTTTCAACCAAAAATTATGAGGTATGCAAAGCAACAGAAAAGTATGACCCATATGCAGGAAAAGAGCAGGCAACAGGAACTGACTTTGGAAAGGTCCAGATGCTGAATTTAGCAGACACAGATTTCAAAGTAGCTATTTTAAATATGTTCAAACAACTAAAGGAAGCCACCCTTAAGAAAGGTATGATAACAATGTCTGAGCAAATAGAGACTATAAATAAAGAAGGCAGTGGGATAACATATTCAATGTGATGAAATAAGATAACAGTCAACCTAAGAATCTAATATCCAGCAAAACTATCTTTCAGAACTGAAAGCACAGTAAATTCCAAGATAAACAAAAGTTTAGAGAATTTGCTAGCAGAACCGTTTTACAAAAATGCTAAGAGAAGTTCTTCAGGCTGAAAGAAAGTGACACCAGATAGTAATTTGAATCCAAATGAAAAAGCAAAGTGCACTGGTAAAAGTAATTATGCAACTATAAAAGACAACATAAATATGTATTTCTTTTTTCTTCTTTTAACTGTTTATAAAAGCAATTATATACTTAACAGATATCCATAGACCATTCTACCAACCCATGAAGAATACACATTCTTCTCAAGCATACATGGCACTTTCTCCAGGATAGACCATATATGCTAGGCCACAACACAAACTTCAAATAAATTTCTTTTTGGCTAGGAAAGACTAGCCCTAAGCTAACATCTGTTGCCAATCTTCCTCTTTTTTTTTCCTCCCCAAAGCCCCAGTACATAGTTGTAAGTCCTTCTAGTTCTTCCATGAGCCACCACCACAGCACAGCTACTGACAGACGAGTGGTGTAGTTCTGCGCCTAGGAACTGAATCCGGGCCGCTGAAGCAGAGCACGCCAAACGTTAACCACTAGGCCATCAGAGCTGGCTCCAAATAAATTTAAAATAACTTGAAGTCACACAAAATATGTATGCTAACCATAGTGGAATAAGATTAGAAATCAATAAAAGAATAAAATTTGGGAAATTCACAAATATATGGATATTAAACAACAGATTCCTAAATAAACAATGGGTCAAAGAAAAAAATCACAATGAAAATTAGAAAATACTTTCAGATGAATGAAAAGAAAAACACAACATACCAAAATTCAGGGGACACTGTTCAAGCAGTGTGCTATGGTCTGAATGTATCCTCCCCAAATTCATATGTTGAAATCTTAATCCCCAAAGGTGATGGTATTAGTAGGTGGGGACCTTGGGGGGTGCTAAAGTCATAAGGATGGGGCTCTCATGAATGGGATTTGTGCCTTTTATAAGAGGCTCCAGAGAGATCCCTAGCCCTTTCTACCATGTGAGGACACAGCAAGAAGGTGCCGGTTATGAACCGAGAAGAGGGCCCTCACCAAAGTATTCAACCATGCTGGCACCTTGATCTTGGACTTCCAGCCTCTGGAACTGAGAAATAAATTTCTGTTGTTTATAAGCTTACCCAGTCTGTGGTATTTTATTACAGTATCTCAAACAGACTAAGACACAGTGCTTAGTGGGAAATTTATAGCTATAAAAGCTGATTAGAAAAAGAAGAAATAAATCAATAACCTAAACATTCACCTTAAGGAACTGGAAAAAAAAAAGAGCAAACCAAACCTTAAGCAACCAAAAGGAAGAAAATAATAAAGATTAGAGTGGGAATTAATGAAATAGACACTAGAAACATAATAGGGAAAAAAATGAAACCAAAAGTTAGTTCTTGAAAAAAAGCAACAAAACTGATAAACCTTTGCATAAAGTGATTAAGAAAAAAGGAGAGAAGACACAAATGACTAAAATGAGGAGCAAAAGAGTGGGGACCATTAATGACCTTACAGAAATGAAAAGGATGATTATAAGGGAATCCCATGAACAACTGTAAGCCAACAAATTAGATAACTTAGATTGTAATGGACACATTTCTAGAAACATAAACTACTGAAACTGACTCAAAAAGAGATGAAAAATCTGAATAGACTACAAAAAAGAAAGAAGAAAAAAAATTTATACTCTGAAAACTACAAAACATGGTTGGAAGAAATTAAAGACCTAAATAAAAGGAAAAATATTCCATATTCATGGGTTATAAGACTTAATATTGTTAAGATTGCAATTTAGATCTAAATTGATCTAAAGATTCAGTGCAATACCTATCAAAATCTCAGCTGGCTTTTTTGCGTAAATTGACAAGTTGAACCTAACATTCATATGGAAATTCAAGGGATCCAGAATAGCTAAATAATCTTGAAAAAGAAGAACAAAGTTGGAATACTAACACATCCTTCTTTCAAAACTTACTCAAAGCTACAATAATAAAAACAGTGTGGTATTGCCATAGGGATAGACATAGGCATCAATGGAATAGAACTGAGGTTCTAGAAATAAACCTTCTCATTTATGGTCAATTGGTTTTCAATAAGGGTGCCAGGATAATGCAGTGAGAAAAAGTAGTCTTCAACAAATGAACTGGATGTTCAAGTGCAAGAGAATAAAGTTGGACCCCTATCTTATACCATACACAAAAATTAACTCAAAATGGATCACAGACCTAAATGTAAGAACTAAAAATACAAAACTCTTAGGGATGAGCCTTCAGGACCTTGGATTAGGCAATGGTCTTAGACACAACACCAAAAGCACAAGCAACAACAACAAAATAAATAAAATAGGCATCATGAAAATTAAAAATGTTTGTGCTTCCAAGGACAATAGCAAGAAAAGGAAAAGATAACTCACATAATATGAGAGAATAATCGCAAATCCTATCTGATAAGAGTCTAGTATCAAGAATATACAAAGAACTATTAGAACTCAATAATAAAAAGACAAATAACCCTATTAAAAATGGGCAAAAAATCTGAATAGACATTTTCCAAAGGAGATATATAAATGACAAAAAGGACATGAAAAGATGCTCAACATCTTTTGTCATTAGTCATGATGTCATTAGTAATGGCATCATTAGTCATTAGGGAAATGCAAATCAAAACTGCAATGAGATAGCACTTCATATTCACTAGGATGGCCATAATCCAAAGGACATAATAGTGGTGGCAAGGAGGTAGAGAAAGTGGACCCCCTCATCCAGTGATGGTGGGAATATAAAATGGTGCAGCTGCTTTGGAAGACAATCTGGGAGTTCCTGAAATGATTAAACACAGTTACCATATGACCCAGCAATTCTAATCCTACGTATATATTCAAGACAAATAAAAACACATATCCACACAAACTCTGTACATGAATCTTCATCACAGCTTTATTCATAATAGCTGAAAATTGGAAAAACCCAATATCTATCAATGGATGAATGGATAAACAAAATGTGGTATATTCATACAATGGAATATTATTCAGCCATAAAAGGAATGAAGTACTGATCCAAGTTACAACATGGAGAACCTAGAAAACATTGAAAAA